TCGTGTGGTGCTTCATGGTGCAGACGTGATTCCGGTGCATCACATGGCGACGTATCTATTTGGCCGGGATAGAGCGGTACGTACTTGATTCGAGCTCACATTCTTCTCCCTCGCCAAGAGCACACTTTCGTTCTTTTGCTGAAAGTTAACATCACTGATTGTTGGTGGGACAACCAACAGGTCGCTGCCATTCCGACAGATCACATCTCCTGTTCGAAGCAGCATGCTGCGCTGGTCCACCGCGAGATTAACATCAAAGACGAACTCGGCATCGGGCCTGGCAGGATGGTCAACAAGTAAGTGCCCTCGCTCTCCAGCGCATATTCTTTTCGCTTTTCGCTTACCACCTGCCTCTCTGTTGGTATCCGCGGCCAGGCCGTACATCATTGATCTTGTGAGCGCGAATGGAACGTTCCTCAACGGCAAGCGGATCGATGCCTCTCGTTTTTACGAACTCAAGCCCAAGGACGTCCTCAAGTTTGGCCAGAGCTCACGCGAGTATGTCCTTCTCCACGATGAGCTCGCCAAGTCATGAGCCAACAACTCATTGGCCAATAAAAGCAACATTTATCATTGACCAACCAAACACGCTGGTGGGCTGCAAACACCACAGCCATCCGCTCCTCTTGTGGTCATACTCACTCGCAACAAACAATTTCGAGCGTCACCAAGGCACCAACAATTTCAGAGTCAAAGCTGCGAAAGCCTGGATGGCCGAGTTGGTCTAAGGCGGCAGACTTAAGATCTGCTGGTGTTCGCGCACCGCGTGGGTTCAAACCCCACTCCAGGCAATTTTACTGCCCGCTGCAAGCTCGGCGTTTATTTTTGTTCCTTCAAATCAAAGAACAGAACGTACCTTGGTGTTTCCACGGGTTGGCACTGAGGTAACACTGTGGCCGCGGTTAGGACAGTGAAAATGAGATGGATGCAAAGCATGGATCAAGATTGACGCACTCGGGGCAGGAATCGAAAGAATGAAAGCGGCCAAGGAAGAAGAAATGCAAAGAGAAAAGCTGGACCAGCGGAGTGTGCCGGGTTGGCTTTGCTTTGCCGTCTTTTCTTCCGTCGCACACAAGGGAGAGACACCGCCGGCGGGTTGCATCACCACGTTCTCTATTCCGCCCAACCGAATACAACAAGATGATCATTTACATCATTGTTGCCGTGGTTGTGGTGGTGCTTATCGCTCTCGTGCTGCGTCCGGGCGCTGAGGTGAACGGCGGCAGTCTCGACCTTTTCCTCGGCGAGAACAGCAGCGACGCCTCAGATGACGACCGGAAGAACGCCCAAGGTCCCTCTACGCCTGTGCACTCTCATCTAATCCGAAAATCTTCATTTTATCAATTAACAAACTGAGGTTTCAATCTACAGAGGCAGAGGAGGCTAAGTACAGCGAGGTATACACGGAAGAGGGCAAGCAGGTGCTGGTCCTCTACGCCACCGAGTACGGCTTCTCGGAGGAGGTACGGCCGTGGCTCATCTTCATCTTTCTTACCCTCAGCCGCGAGTATTGCTATTTTGGAATTCCAAATACGTGTTCGCATGCAACGCCACATTTTTTGGAATATCATTTTGACAAATAATACTGATGGCGCACCGCCGCTAACGCCAGTGTGCACTTGTGACCTCATCAGGTGGGCAAGAAGCTCTTCGACCACCTTTACGCTCCGCCCGCTTGCCAGCCGCGTGTCGTCAACGCCCGCGACAGGGAAGTGTTCGACCTCATGAAGGAGCAGGTACGTCTTTATCACTGTTCTGTTCCCTCTTCGCTCCTTCCAGTCAAGTAGCTCATTCCCACCATTCCACAGGCCGTGCTGATCGTCAGCTCGACGACCGGTGACGGCGTGCCCCCGACCGATGCCAGGGACTGGCTCGAGGACCTCGTCGCCAAGGACAGGTCGTCGTACGACCTGTCGCACCTCCGCTACTCTGTGCTGGCGCTGGGCGACTCCAACTACACCCACTACTGCAAGACCGGAAGGACCATCGACGCCACGCTCGAAGGTAAGGCCGCCGCGTGGTGCAGGCCACCGTTTGGTTGATTGATTCGCATAAGTTCTCACTCACGTTGATGGTTTTTCGTGTCGCTGCACGACCAGCGCTCGGTGCCAAGCGCGTTGTCGACAAGGCCGAGGTGGACCAGGAGGACTGGCCCGTGATCGACGCCTGGTTCGCTGCCGTCAAGGCCAAGCTGCACGAGCTTGACCTCGATGTTAGGGCCGACTACATCGTTTCCAGGAGGTACGCGCCGCACACACACACACACACACCACACGGCACACCTGTTGGTGGTGGTGTGTTGTGTTTGTCATTTTGACCCCGGCGTGCTGTCTATTGTGGGCAATAGTGGTAGCGCCAAGCAGGAGAAGCACGGCCGACTCAGGCCCTTCGCGGCCGAGATGGTCACCAAGTATGACATCACCGACGTCCCCCCGGTACGTTGTCACATTGCCGCCGTCAGCGAGCTTGTCACGTCAGCACACGACATGAGCTCACCTTGGCTTCTGCTCGGGCGTTTCAGGAAGATGACGAGGAGAGGAAGGTGATCCATGCCGAGTTCAAGCTGGAGGCCGAGAGCGAGCTCTCGTATACCGCCGGCGACGCGCTGGGCATCTACCCCCTGAACAACCCGCCCGAGGTGGCCGCCCTGCTGGCCGCCCTCGGCCAGCCCGGCGGCGATTCCCTCGTGCCCGTGCCCAAGATGGCCTACGAGCCCAAGCCCGAGAAGGAGATGTCCCTCAAGGAGGTACTCATCGCCCTCCCATCCCGCGCGCACACGACAAGTGACTTACGTGTCGTGTGTCGTGTGTGTCGTGTGTGTCATGTGTGTCATGTGACGTTGCGAAACGTGTTGCACTACGCAGGCTCTGTTGCGCTTCTACGATCTCAAGACAATTCAGCCGTCGCTGATCAACCTGATCAAGGAGCGCACCGGCGATGCCACGGAGCGGGGCCAGCTCGAGGAGCTCCTGCGCGACGGCGGCGCCTCGATCAGCAAGAACAGGAGGCTCAAGGAGTACATCGAGCTGCGCGAGGTGGCCGACGTCCTCGAGGAGTTCCCCTCGGCGATCCAGCACAAGAAGGTGTCCGTCACCGACGTGCTGACCAACATGAAGATCCTCCAGCCCCGCTACTACTCCATCTCCTCCTCTCCCGTCATCGGTGCGCAGCCGTTCTTCCGCCCCCACCCAATTTTTGGAATTATGTTTGGTTATTCTCTTTTTTGGATTTATTTGCTGATATTCATTCATTCATATTAAAATCATCCAGATAAGAGCATCGTGTCTGTCACTGCGTCGGTGGTGAGGTACGAGACGTTGGGCAAGAAGCGCACCGGCGTGACCACCACCTTCCTCTGCGATCGATTCGACGTCAACCAGAGGTGCCCGGTCTTCATCAACAAGAACCCCGAGTTCAGGTACATACACGTCAATACATGCATACATGCCTCCCCCCCTCTTGTGTTCGTGATCGTTTTTTTAACCTCACTCTTCGGACGATGTGTCTGCGACGAAGACTGCCCGGAGACGGCGCCACGGACATCATCATGATCGGACCCGGCACCGGCATTGCGCCCTTCCGCGCCTTCATCCACGAGCGCGTGGCGTCCAAGGCCGCCGGCACCAACCTGCTCTACTTCGGCTGCAGGCACCGAGCCACCGACTTCCTCTACCGCGAGGAGCTCGTACGCAACTCATCGCACGCACCACCACCGCACACATCGCCGCACACGCTCTTTTTTTTTTTTTTTTGACTTTTTTTTGCGCCGCAGGAAAAACTGGACGGTGAGGGCAAGATCAAGCTGAGGACGGCCTTCTCGCGGGACCAGGAGAGGAAGGTCTACGTGCAGCACAGGATCGCCGAGGACAAGGACGCGATCTGGAGCATGCTCGAGGGCGGTGCCCATGTCTACGTGTGCGGTGACGCCAAGCACATGGCGGGCGACGTGCACAACGCGCTGCTGACCATCATCCGCGACAAGTCCGGGTGCAGCGACGAGGCCCAGCAGTACATGCACAAGCTCGAGGCCTCCAAGCGCTACCAGAGGGACGTGTGGGTGTAAGAGATGCCTGCGCAATGCGCGTGCCATTTTGTTCAATTTATTTATTTATTTTGGTGTTTGAGATAATAAAAAGCCAAGATAAGCAGAATCATTTACAAACCCTTTTGTTCCATTATTTTTCATCATTTTACGAATTCGCACAAAGGTTTTACCGAAATAATTAGAAAAAAGAACGAATTCGGGCCAGATAAAAAAAATAAGAAAAGGAAAATAAATAAAATACGGACCTTGCAACACGCAACCGTGTGTGCTGTGTGAGCTGTACCCCGAGGAGTTGGTAGCAGGTTCCTTGCACACGACGCAGCTTGCCGCAGTACTACTGTACTGCGTCATCATCCCCGTGAGTCTTGAGGCCTGCGGTCCGTCATACCTGAACTCCTGGTGGCTTCCTACGACTTGGGTATGTTTTTTGCATCTGTGACACTCTCCTGACACTTTGCCGGCCATCACACCCCATTTGGCTTTAGCTTTGGATCCAGGCAATACTTCTTCTCTTCAGCATCTGACAGTGTGTTTCATCTCCGATCTTGCTGCACTAATCAGATTAGAATCGCGAAGATCTCAAAAAACCAAAAGATGAAGAGGAAGTCGTTGGAGTTTCAAAAGATTCGATCCAAGCTCCAGCAGCGACGCAAGAAGGATGCTGCGACTGCCCCGGGGGCTCCGGCCTCGCCTGGCCTGGGCACGACGGCCCATCCATCCACGGCCAGCAGGGGGAATAGCAGTAGCAATAGTCTGCATGGCAGCAGCAACAACAGCGGAGATGAGTTCGAGGGAGGACAGCAGTTGCGGTCGCCCATCAGGCGCCAGCCGCCGACGACGCCGGAGCTAAAGATGGTGGTGGCCGGCATCGAAGAGGGCGCCGTCGAGCGGAAGCGCAAGCAGGCCGCCGACGCGCTCGCCACGCCAAAGAACGACAGCGGAGCCGTATTGGCCCCCGCCAGGAAAGAGCGAAGGCCGCGACAAGACAACGAAAACGACGGCGGCGGCTCATCTTCCGGAGGCGACGGCGAAGAAGAAGACGGCGAGGGCGAGCCGGGCGCCAACAACGGCGAGTCGCCCACCAAGAGGCGCAAGACCAACTTCTCTGCGCAGGGCTACCCCCAGCGTCTGGAGGAGGCCATCCAGGCCTGCATGAACGCCGTCAAGCAAGCTGGTACTGCTCGCACACACCCTTCGCTTTCGCTCTTCCTCCCCCTCCCTCCCTCACGCTCACCGTGCCAATGACGCGCAGAGCAACGACTCGGAGAGCCGGTGAAGGCCGACGCGTCGGGGACTGCGCCGATCTACTACCGATGGAGCTCCCTGGCGCGGGCCAAGTACATCGAGCCGGCCTGGCAGTTCCTCTCGAACATGAGCCCCTTCCCCGTGACCATCGGCGGCATCGTCTACCCGACCCTGGAGCACTACTATCACGTCATGGTACACTCTCCTCTCCTTCTTCGTCGTCATCGTCTCCGGACATGAAGAAGGCGGAGGAGGTGGTGGTGGCGGTGGAGGCCATCAATCAACCACCAACCAATCGTCGTCATCATCAGAAATTCGTGCACGCCCGAAGCCTGCCGATCAAATTCGAGTCGGTCGAGCAGATGAAGAGCAACCCGGTCGTCGCCAAGCTCCTCTCGATGCCCGATCCCGAGAAAGTCAAGCAACTCATGGGCAAGAAAGGTGCGCAACACACCACCGCACGCGCACGCAACCGCACGCGACACACGCACAAAACACCCAACACATTTTAACTCCGATGGTGCGGTTTAGGTTCGATGGGCAAGAAGCTGCCGTTCAATTGGGTGGCCTGGAGCAAGGCCATTCCTGAGATCATGATGGAGGCCAAGCTCCTCAAGGCGCGGCAGTACCCCGGAATCAGGCGTCTGCTGCTCGAGAGCGGCAATCGAACGATCGCCGAGCGCAAGCTGAGCCACCGCAAGAAGACACCGCCCGAGCCCTCCGAGATCCGGGGCATGCTGGTCTTCTACAAGGGCCAGTGGTACGGCGACAACGCGAGCGGCAAGATGTGGATGCGCGTGCGGAAGCAGCTGCAACAGGAGGAGTATGAGCGGGCGCAGATCGAGGCCCGGGCGAGGCACAGGGGCAAGCTGGTACTGGTCGAGTCCGACGAAGAGGAGGAAGAAAGAGAGAAGCCAAAGAAGAACGAAAACGATGAAGAAGAGGTGGTGGCGGTGGTGGAGGAGCTGATCGAGGAGGAGACGGACGGCGGTGCGAGCGGCGATGATGAGGAAGAAGAGGACGGGGAAGACCGGCGGACGGAGCGAGGGAAGCGGAGCTTCATCATCAGCCACGTCAAGGACGAGCACGTCACTATCGCGCACAACCCGGAGGAGGGCGATTGGATCGTCCAACGAGAACGCGAACGCGAACGCGAAGAACGAAAGCGACCGACGTTGTCGGCCTGCCCTCGGAAGAGCGAAAGCGAAGGGGCGCTGGCTGTCGGAGCTAAAAGGCAGCGGTCGCCGCCGGTCTTGGCCGCAACGAAGCCGCACGAGGAGCGACAACGACGAAACGAGGTGACATCGGCACAAACCACGTACGTCCCCGCCGAGGTGTTCCGAGAGCACGTCAAGGCGCTGGAGACTGAACTGAAGGCCACGATCGTGGAGGAGGAAGCGATTGTGGTGGAAGAGGAAGTCGTCGAGGAGGAGGTCATCGAAGAGGTCATCGAGGAGGTGGACTTCTTCGACATGAGTGACTCGGAGAGCGACGACAGCGATAGCGCCGACGACAGTGACAGCGATGTGAGCGAAGACGCCTACAGCGAGGACGATGGCTACTAGCCCACCATCAACACCTTCGCCATTGGGGGACACTCATAAACGCTCCTTAAAAAAAGTCCGTTGAGCTCCAAAAAGGCAATGCCCGACTCTCTTTCGCCCCCCCCCCTCTACCGCACCGTAAACAAGAGAGAGACAGTGGAGGTTGAAACCGCGGTTTATCTTAAACGTAATAGAGGGAAACAGGGGCTGTCATAATCAGGCACTGGAGGCAAAGGTGTCCGAGTAGACAAACTTGGCGATGAACTTCCACATGTTGTCAGGGATGGGGGTCTTCCAGATGTCAATTTCCTGAATCCCCTTGGCGATGATCATGTCGAACCTAAAACGACGAGGAAGGCCACGTGTGAGTTGTTTCAAAAGAAGCGGCGGGGGAGGGGGTGCGAGTTATCACTCACCTTTCCTCCCACTCCTGGTCGGTGAGAGGCCTGTTGTTCTCGGACTCGTTGACGGTCTCGAGGCCAATGCCCAGCTTGTCGAGGCTGATCGAAGCCACGGCCTTTTGGAACTGCCGCAGGAAACTGTCGAAGTTGGGCGTGTACGTGCCCTGCGCATGGTTGGTTGGTTAGTCGTTGCGGAGGCCTCGCTGTGGGAGGGTCATGGGTCCGGCACCATGCACAGGAGACGATCGGCCTTGGACGCGTTGAGGCTCTCGTAGTCCCAAATCGTGCTCCATCCGGCAAAGTCCACCGTCAGCTCCTTGCCCGCCGCGTGCAACGCCTGAAAACCAAGAACAGACCGCACACGTACACGTACACGACCACACGCATTCGGGGTGAGCTTGGGCATGGGCGCCCAACGCGCAAATGCAACGAAACGTCGTACCTCAGCGAACTCAGTGAGGAAGTGGGCATAGCGCTTGGCGTCGTCGGCGGTGGGCACGCCCGAGGCCGGCTCCCAGTCCACGTTGTAGCCCGAGAACCCTTCCTTCACCGCGCTGCACGCCCACCAGCGATCAGTTACCAACGCGAGAGTGGAGTGCGTATCCCACGCGACACACACCACGACACACACCGACACGCGCGTGCGGAAGAAGAAGAGGTGACGCGCACGTCTGAACGCAGGTGGTGATGAAAGGCTTGGGGTTGTCAAAGACGTAGCGCATCCAATCCAGGAACTGGGGAGGATAAGGGTACGACGAGATCACTGCGTTCACGATTACACGTGGCCACACGGTCAGCTTCTACAGATGCGACACGTACACGCACACGCACACGCACCACCGCACACGCACAACCGCACGCACCGCACACAACACGTACTGGGATAGGTCTTGAAGCCCGCCGTCTGGAGGAAGGGCAGGACTTGGGTGAGGTTGTTGGCCACGAGCGTGCCCTCGGCGCCCAAGTTGAACAGCTCGAACGACACTCCGCTGATCAGCTCCCGGTGCTGGGCCAGGGCCTGACGCGTCGACCGTAATGCTGACGTCAGGGGGGGGGGTAATAACGAAAGAAGAGAAAGAGCGAAAGAGGGAGGAGGGGGGCGAACATGAAGTTGGGCGGTGATGGAGGTGGAGTTGTCACCGCAGCGTTCGAGGCACATCCACGGCATGACGCGCTTCCGGGCAGGGGTGTGGGAAGCCGAGGCTCCGTCGTCGGTCGTAACGGAACATAGGCAAGCCGCAGCTGCGAGCAGGATCAACGCCACGGTCAGGGTGAAGCGACGGTTTGGCATCGTCATCATCACTTTGGATAGTCACTACTTGTGACTCTGCTGTTGTCCTTCAGTGGTTTGCGGCGCAGGCTAAGTTGGCGGAAGTTAGGGAACGGAAAAGGGGTTGGACCTCGTCGGCCTTTGCCGTTGCGGAGGGATGCACCAACCACACAAGACCCACGGCCGAACGAGCAAGTCGTTGAACTGGCAGCTACAGCTGTAGCTGGAGCTCTCACGCTTTGGAGGTTCACTTCAGTTTGAGTTCTTCTTTCGAGGAATGGCTTTACGTTCAGGCGCCGTCAACACCAACCGCCGTGCAGCGCAAAACAACATTCGTAAACAAAGATGGAAGAGGAGGTTGAGTTCATCTACGAGATGCTCCACTCCCACTCGCCAACCTGCGAGCGGGTGTGGCTGCCTAAGGGGCCTCCCAAATTCGCCCAGGTATGTATGCCTACGCCCGCATGCTCACCACCTTTTGTCGTGTGTTCACGCCTTCCTTGCGCACAGCCCCGCGATGGGGTGGCGGCGCTCAAGCAGCGCTTGGGGCATGAACGTGTGTCGATTATCAACCCCTTCACCCTCACCCAAGAGAGGCAGACCACGTGCTCTGGCCTCTACTACGCCTACATTCACCCCGTACTCACCTCGTTTCTCACCTTCACCTCTCGCAAGATGTTTACGGCCTCACCCCTCTCAGGAGGGCAGCTCGCCACCAGCTCTATGGGAGATGCTGCTGCGCGGTGCTCACGTGATGGCCACGGAGCGCAACTCGCCAGAGACGGCCAAGCGCCTGTACAAGAGGGTGGTTGACCTGCAACAGAAGTCAGACAATGCCGACTTCCTCTACTCCCTCTATCGCCACCTGCAGACGGTTCCGTCGCTGGACCTGGACCGCGATTTCCATGACGTCGTCACCCGATGCCGCTCGTTCGACATCATCGACCAGGCCTTCCGCCAACGCCGCGCCCAGCGACAGGCCCGGCTGCTGGCCTGGTCTGCGCCTCCACCGCCGACAGCATCGGGGAGTGGGAGTGGTATGTCGCTGCTCGACCTCCTGCGGATGCTGCCGCCGCCCTTCACCCCGGCCGACCTCCTGCCCCTCGGCTCGCTCGTGGCGATGGCCCGGACCAGCAGGGAGTGGTACGCCTACGTCGCGGGCAGCCAGCTGCCGCTGCTACAGCGACGCGCAATGAACGACGAGGCCCTCGCCCCGATGAAGTGGAGCTACTCTCACAGCTACGAGGGACCAACCGAAGACGTGTGGGCCACCTGCTCGCTCACCTACTCTTCTTCTCTCTCGACGGCATCGACATCGACAACCAACTCTGAGGCGTCGTCGCTGTTCCCGATCATCGAGTGCCCTCCGCTGCTGAGGTACCTGCTCGCGCACGCGGTAAGCGTGGGGAGCGCGCGCAGCCCAGCCGCCGCGGTGGAGGCGCTGCTGGGGAGCTGGAGGTTGTCAACAATCTTCGACCCGGCGTGCCCCTCTGACACCATCAAGCGTTGCTTGCGGCTGCTGAGCGGAACGGCGGTAGCAGCGGCCACCTACAGCAAGAAGGAGATTGGCTTCCCAACGCAGTCCGATAACCACATGATTTGTCTCTACCTGCCGGCAGATGACGCTACCGACGCGAGTCCGAGTGCCGGGATGGAAGTAGTGTGCGAGGTGGGGTGGGGAGTGCACACTCCCTACTGGTATTAAACTCAGTGTTCAAGGACCGCGGTGACCAGAAGATGCCCAGTGGATGAGAGTGTTGACAGGAAAGGCCTTGTGTCTAAGATCCTCGATGGACACCGTCGCAGCCGCGTGTGACGATGTCTTTTTGTGGGTCTTCCCTTGCCCCGAGATCCCACGTTGGCCACTTCGCGTGACTCTCGCCGTCCTGCGGTTGCAGACTAGAGACCGTTGGCCGGCGCCCATGGCCGGGCCTTGCCTTCCCGCGACAAAATGGCCCTGTTCGGGTTTGTGCGCCGTTCCCTTTTGCAGTGCCATAGGACCTTCGTGTGGCGCTGTAGGCTCGATGGTGGGTAATCCTCGCTGTCTTCTGACGGAGGGCTGCCCCGGAGTCACTCCCGCGAGCGGCTGTTCCCTATCGCGGGGTCCTCTGCTTGTAGCGCGAGAGCCAGCGCCACGATCATGACCGGTGTGCCCTACTCACACAATCAAGCTTGCGGCTACGGAGCGGAACGGCGCTGAGCGGCCACCTACAGAAGAAGGGTGGCTTCCCAACGCAGTCCGATAACAACATGAATTATTGCTATCTGCCTGTGACGCCGGTCGCGACGTCACGAAGCTAGCAGCTTTCACTCCTTACTACCATTGAACTCAGATGATCTCAAGGGGACGAGAGTGTGTGAAATCTTTTTTTTATTATTCTTCTTTAGGCAGTTGACACAAGGAGGGAGTGAATGAGTACGTACCTTGCTTGGTTTGCGGCAGCAACGGGGAGAAGCGCAAGATCTGGAGCAGGGGAAAGGTGAGAAGATTGTCTCTCGCATCGGCAAACGTAAGAAAGATAGCAGTAGGGGAAATTCAGGAAATTGGCTTGATACAAGTCGGTTTGTGATCATCGTCGATCATCCGGGAAAAGAATGTGTCATCACTATAACCCCAAATATTGAAGAAGGGTGGAAGGTCACTCTACCTTGCAGTCCAGACGACACCCCACAGCCGCGAATTACATCCGGGAGATTAAACCCTGAGATTAAGAAACGTGATTAGATGGAGCAGTGGAAGGGGTGAAGAAAGGAGGAGGTGATTGGAGTGTGCTCAGCTGCCAAACTATCAACAAGGTTGTTCTGTCTCGTCATCTAATATAAATTTTTATCCTCCCTGCGCCACTCGAAGTGTGATGTGGTGTGTCTGTGCCTGGGTGTGGGGTGTGTACCTCGAAAGGGTTGTGGAGAGCGGTGGATTGATGAAAGAAGAATAGGCCGCCTGCTTCTTTTTATAGGCCGCTTCGGCCACTGGAGTAGTTCTCCATTTTTTCCACCGGGACTATTGGCCAACTCCCGGCATTCCAATCATGCTTTTGTTAAGGTGTCGGTCCGAATATCCTTTTTCTCTCCTTTTTCAACCTTTCTTGGGCAGGCAGAGATCGCAAGATTGAGATTACCCTTGTGAAATCGTCAGCTTGCAGGGTTTGAGGATTTACTGAGCGGCTGCGATCGAAGTAAGCAAAGATGGCGGAAAGCTCGGCTAGCGATTGGAGTGAGCACACCACCCCCGAGGGAAAGAAATATTTCTACAATGCCAAGACGGGCGTCTCCACCTGGGAGAAGCCGGCTGAACTCAAGAGCCAAGTAGAGGTACGCTTCCCTTTCAGGGTGCCACCTTGAGGTTTTGCAGAGCCCCCGCCCCCGGATTATTGCACTCTCACGCTACTCGCGCTTACCGTGATCCATGCATGCATGCACGTACCCACAGCAAGTGCAAGCGTCCTGCCCCTGGACTGAGCACACGTCCGACAATGGACGCAAATACTACTACAACACCGTCACGCAGACATCTTCGTGGGAAATGCCTCCCGAGTTCAAAGGCACGTCTGCCGCTCCTCCTTACTTCGTTGCCACCACAGCGACCACGCTGCTTTCCCTCTACTGGGCGTGGTGCTGACATCTTTCTTACTGCCCGCTGTTGTGCACCGCAGCCATGCAAGAGGCGATGGAAGCGGCCAAAGAAGAACAGTACGCACGCATTCCTTGCTCCGCGCTGATGGGCTGACTTGAAATGGAGTACCTAACGCGCCATCACCCCGGTTTACCGGTCATTAGGGCGAAGAAGGCCGGCGAAGAGAAGCCAGCCGACGCGGCCAAGCCTGCACCCGCTACCGCGGCCACTCCTGCCGTTGTCTCCCCACAAAAGTCTGCCGCCCCCGTCGCCGCGTCGGCTCTCTATCAACGTACGAGGCCACACACAATCTTAACACCGAATTTGCTCTGTTCCTTGCTTAATGCATGGTTCGTTTGTTTGCGCAGCGTCCATGCCCACTTCTCCTGTTCGCCATCAAGCTGCCCCGGTCGCCGCACCCGTGGTCACCCCTGTTGTTGCAGCGGTGCCTGTTATCCTCACCCCCGCGGATGTCTTCAAATCCCTCCTACGCGACTACGTACGTACACGGCGCACGACACACAACGAACACAACGTCCACTTCTCACATTACACACTCTTTCTGCTCCGGGGTACACCACTTGTACCTGCGAATGTACCCGACCCGATCTAATCGTACCACAACAACTATCGTGCAGCACATAACGCCCACGGCGACTTGGGACACTACCATGCGGACCATCATCAAGGACGAGCGTTACAAGGTTCTCAGCTCCATCACAGAGCGAAAGGCCGCGTTCCGCGAATACATCGAAGACGTCAAGACCAGAGATAGGGTACTACCTTCGGTGAACTTTTGATGCTGTGGTGGTGATAGCGTAAGGTGCTCACGTACTATCGCTTGCAGGAGGAGCGCAAGGCCAAGGAGGATGCCCTGAGGAACGATTTCTTTGCCATGCTGCGCCAGGGCGAGATCGACGCCAGCTCCACCTATCGCAAGGCCATGACCATGTTCGACAGGTCGGTTGCGCGCACGGCGACCGGTGTCGCTACGTACCGGCGTGCCATGTTAACTGACCCTTACACGTTCTCGCACTCTCTCGCAGGGACCCACGCTGGAAAGCCGTGGATCGGGAGAAGGACAGGGAGGACCTGTTCGATGACTACATCTGGGAACTCGAGACAAAGCAAAGGGTACGCCGGGTAGATGAGAAATAAGAGACCACGATTTGCGTTGCGTTGATAGCCTCGAGAGGCGAGCTCTTGACACTTGCACTTTGTTTTCTTCCCTCTTCCCTCTGGCGTGCAGGAGGAGGAGCGGAACAACCGCGAATCCAACCTGAAGGCCTTCCACCAGCTCCTCGACGAATACGTGCTCAGTGTCACCACCCAGTGGCGGAAGGTACGCCGCAGCCTGGATCCTGTTCTCGAACAGTTGGCCAGAGCGCGGGGCTAAGCCTTTCTCTCCGTATCGTCTCTAGTTCAGGGACGATGTCAAGGACGACCCGAGGTACAGCGCCCTGGACAAGCTGGATCGCCTGGCGTTGTTCGAACACCGTATACGCGATCTGGAGCGGGTCGAGGCCGAGGAGAAACGCAAGTCAAGGGAGACACAGAGAAGGTTCGCCTTCGCCTTTGCCTTCCCCTCCGCTCGCCCACCTAGGTGCTCTTACACAGCTCTGATGTGCCCTGGCCTTCCTGTTCTGTGTGTCGTGCGCGTGTGGTATGCGGCGCGGCGGCTTGCAGGCAGTACCGTAAGAACAGGGACACTTTCCGCGCGCTCCTTCGGGAGGCGTACGATGCAGGCAAGCTCGACCGCAACTCCAAGTGGAAGCGCTTCAAGCGGACCATCAAGGAGGACCCCCGATATGAAGACCTGATCGGCCAGCCCGGGTACCTTACCTTACCCTTTTTTAATCACCCCAATTTCCGTGATCGCTCGACTCTCGGGGTTCGTCCTCTCACCCGCCCGGGCGCCTGCTCGCTCCATCACCGCAGCTCCACGCCATCCGAGCTGTACGGCGATTTTGTGGAGGACCTGCAGGAGAGATATGAGGAGACGAAGCGGATCATTGACCGTATTACGAAGGTATGTTCTTGTTCGCTGGCGCTCGTGTGTGTGTGTGTGTGTGTGTGTGTGTGTGTGTGTGTGTGTGTGTGTGTGTGTGTGTGTGTGTGGATAAACTAAATTCTCGGCGCGGCCGTCACGCAGGAGGGTAATATCACGATCACCTCGTGGATGGCCGAAGACCAGTTCCTCGCCGCCATTTCCACGCATCCGTCTTACCCCAACCTCGACCAGCCATCGGCCTCCAAGATCTTTGCCGAGGTTCGCATTTCGAGCAGTTAGTCTGTTGTAGTGGTCATGTATGGATCAGGCTCACTCACCCCTCGTTCTGGGCGTGGTGGTGGTGGTCGTGGTGGTCGTGGTTGGCGCAGATGCGGGATCAAGTGGACAGGCGGGAGAAGCGAGAGAAGCGGAAGCGTGAGAAGAACTTCACCCTCATGCTCAAGTCCCACAAGGACAAAATCACGGCCGCCTCCGTCTACGATGATGCGGTACACCACGCACCTCCCTACCCTGCATCGAGCCGAATTGGGCCAGTGTTATTGGCGGGCGCTGATGGTCTGTCCTGCCAGGTGCGCGAGCTGCTCGCCGAGGAGGCCTCCTACAAGGCCATTCCCGCCGAGGAGGAGCGCAAGGCTCTGTTCGAAAGCTACGTCGACCATCTCAAGAATCGTCCGGCCGACGTACGTATCGCCCGACTCTCCCTTATCATTTCCTCAACATCTCACCATCTGCTATGTGTGTTCCCTCTCCAATCGTGTGCGTGCGTGCGTGCGGCATCTCCCATTGCACGTGCGTGTGTGCGTGTAGTACGAGTCGTCGAGCGAGGAGGAGGGCATGATCGAGAGCGAGTCGGAGGAGGACAGGGACCGGAAGAGGCGCCACAAGGACAGGAAGGACAAGGACCGCAAGCGGAGGCGACACTCGTCCAAGGACCGAGACGACGACAAACACAAGAAGAGGAGAAAGGTACGTGCGCGCTCGCCTTCTCGTCGTGACATCAGCCGTGCTTGCGGGTTTGTTGACAACCTCGCTCGTGCGGTGTGTGCGGTGCAGCATTCGGACAAGGACAAGGAGAGGAAGCACAAGAAGTCGAGGGGCGAGGAGAAGAAGCGAGGCAGACGCGAGGGGTCGGAAGAGGGGGAGCTCGTCCCCACCGACCACCACGCCGAGAAGGAGGAGGGCGAGATGGACGAGTAAACAGCCGCAGCTGTGTGCCATGTAGCGCCTGTATCGATCAATCCGTGGACGCCGTGTAATCTTGGAGATGGCCGCAAATCGGAATGTACACGCGCATGTTACCGAAAGTTGAAGATGCGGCAGCTCTGCAACCAGCGAAAACGATGTACAGGGGCAGGTGGAGTGCAGTGCCATGGATTGTGGGCTGCGTAGCGCTGTTGCTGGCGTGCACGTCGCTGGCTGCAGCCAAGGTAGTGTGGCAACTCTTGAATTCTGTGTTTGGAAAGGAATCTATCAATCGATGCAACGGGATTTTGACGCATGTGGCGCAGGTAGATGAAGCGCTTATCAGGGCACTCATTGCCAACATGACCCTCTTGGAAAAGGTTATCCTCCAGTGCAAGTCCTTCAGTTCCTTGTAAATCGATCTCACCTTTTTTCGGCTGGCGCCGCATCACAGACGCGACAGCTCGACCTCTACCCCGGGGGGGACGTGGTGCGCGATGGCCGTGTTGACCCAGACACCCTCGCAGGCACCTGGAAGGGCGGTGTGGGCGGAGCGGTGCACGACTTCTACCCGCACTCGGCCAATGAGACCAACTACATCCAGCAGTGGGTCAAGCAGAACTCCCGGCTCGGCATCCCTGTTCTCTTCATCGAGGAGTGCCTCCACGGTCTCCAGCAGGCTGGCCACACAGGTGCGATCCGCATCGCGCACGTGCTCGCGCCAATCGGCGCTCATTAGCTCCCGCACACGCACACTACCGCACACGGCACGACACAGTGTTCCCGCAGGCGGTGGCGTTGGGAGCCAGTTGGGACACGGACATGGTACACCGCGTGGGTAAGGCCATCGGTGCCGAGGCCCGAGCCTGCGGCATCGGCATGTGCCTCTCCCCCGTCCTCGGCGTCGGATATTGACGGCCGGCTGTTCAGGATCGAGGAGCTCTAATGCAGGGCGGCACCGACCCGCACACATCGCTCGCCACCAACCACAGTGTCATTTGTACGGCTTTGCTTCTTGTCGATGTCGATGCCGCTGATGGCGGTCAACGTTGACGTTGCGCGCTGCAGCGGAGCCGAAACACTATGGCGGGCACTCGTGGCCCGAGAGCGGGCTCAATACGGCGCCGGCCCATATGGGACGTCGCGACCTGGAGACCATCTTCCTGCCCACCTTCAAGGCCGCAGTCACGGAGGCGGGCGCCCGGAGCGTGATGGCCGCCTACAACGAAATCGACGGCATTCCCAACGCCAACAACGAGGACCTGCTCTATGAGCACTTGAGAAACGTACGTTTTGTTTACAGCCACTGCACACTCACTCACCGCACACATACGTCCGATGATTTGCCGATGTTTATTGTGGGGCTGCGCAGCAATGGGGATTCGACGGCTTCGTGCTCTCCGATGAGGGTGCGGTGAGCCAAGCTCTGGACGAACCATCACACGGCCGCCTCGCCGCTCGACGCCATCATTCAGTTCCTCACCGCCGGCGGCAACATGCAAGTAAGTACTGTGTGGTTCGTATGATGTGTGTATGGTGTGTCGTATGTGCTGTCCAGGCACTGACATCGTTGCGTGTGCCCACAGTTCTACGATTTCCCGCACATTATCTGGGACTTGTTCATCGCCGAAGCCGTCGAGGCTGGCAGGCTGAGCGAGTCCATCCTCGACGACCGCGTGGCCGATCTCTTGCGCGTGAAGATGATGCTCGGCCTCTTCGATAACCCCTTCACAGGTCTCTCTCTCTCTCTGTGTGTGTGTGTGTGTGTGTTGCTCTTGATAAGCTTGCTCTACTCGTGACTACATCTACGGTAGGACGCGTTCCATCGGTTCTCTCTGTCCGCAGACCCGTCGCTCGTGTCGCTGGTGGTCAATTCCCAGGAGCACCAGGACCTCGCACTCGAGGCCGCGCGCAAGGCCATCGTTCTGCTCAAGAACGACAACAATGTGTTGCCTCTCGCCAGCGTACGTATGAGCGTCCAGGGCCTCTCGCGTGCGTGGCATGACTGACGTTGACTGACGGCCGTTGACCGGTCTTCGTCCAGGCCAAGCTGGGCTCGATTGCGCTGATCGGGCCGAGTGCTGACATGACCCAGCTCGGGACTATTCCGGATTCGGTGTGCTCGATAACTTCGTCACCGTGCTCGACGGCGTCAGCGCCAAGGCGCCCCAAGCGAAGATCTACCACGCCTGGTACATTCCCGCACCTACTTCTACCAATACCGCACACAGCACACACGCGCGACTTAACTCTTTTGTGAATGTCAGGGGCTCGGGCGTGCTCCACAACGACGAGCTGCAGGTGATTCGCCCTCGCTATCTGTTCCCGCCCAACAGCACGAGG